TTGGAAGATGACGAAGATGAGGCACTGTTCCTTCGTCTTGTTCTTTCTCTCCCTCCTTCCACTCTCCTTACTCACTGCCCCTCCCCTCCTCTCTCTCCCTCCCTCCCTCCCTCCCACTCTTCATTGACCTCTCCTCTCACTGTCAGTCCTGTTTTTGTGTCTCCGCTTCTGTTCTGCTTCCTTCGGTTATCAGTTACTGTATGAAGTATGTGTGTGTGTGTGTATGTAAGGGAGCTTGTGAGGGTCTGGCAATCCAGGCATATGCCCTTGGCTGGTATGAGAATGCCGACAAGAAGATGGACTCCAGGTTCAGCCTATCTGAGAGTGGCAGCATCTGGTCGGGTGATCGGATAACTGTTGCCAGGAAGGGTGCCGAGAAGCGACTCAAGCAAGAGAAGAACGACAAGAACCGGATCCAGGATGAGACTTAGACTGTTATGGTGCAGCATGACTTTTCTTTAGCCACCAGCAGGTCAATCTGGAAAGATGCACCCTTTGCATGGAAAGCCCTGTTCTCAGGGTTATATGTGGGGGATCAGGGTCTGATTGCACACCTTGTGGCGATGAGGCAAAAAGTTTTTCCGCAAAGATGCGGTGATGTCGGTGTCGCCTCATGCGTCGCATCCCCGTTGACCCTATTGGGCCCTTGAACTTTCGGTTAGAGACTCGGTGCGACCGAGGTACATTTGTGTCGAGGCGGAAGGCCGGTGCATTGTTCCTGGTCAGGTGCCGCTGGCACGGTCGGCAAAGGCTGATCACGTTTCTTGTCCTGTGATTGCCTTTCTGTCGCAGGTGCTAATCGTGCCGCAGGAGCACGTCATGGCCATGACGGATGCGGACGAGGCGGCAGAGCCTGTGTCGCGAGAAATTCATCTATTTTCAGTGTCCAGGCCGCGTGGGCGGTGCGCTCAAACAAAACATCTCGTGGCCAAGGGCTCAGAGGATTCTCAGAGCCATGCCGATGTCAACGAGGCAGACATTCGTAATTACCAGAAGTGCCTCATTTCCTTCTACGAGTCAGAGGCATGGCCGAGAGCAGTTGCAGTAGAATTCCAGTCATGCATACCAGATGGCAGACTTTCATGCAATATGCTGTTGCAGCAACCTCCTCGCGCTGTTCTCTTCGTGGAGTCTTCGGTGCACCGTGTTTCGAGGGACAAGGCACGAAGTGGTGCAGCCTTGCTCTCGACACCTAGACGGCAGCATGAGAGGCTCTGCTGGGGGCAGGGCCCCATGCCAGTATTGTCGCATATCCGATCGAGCACCGGCCTTGGCTTCGTGGGAATGGAGAGAAAACATTTAATGCTTCGGGAGTATGCTTCATTCATGCTTCTTGGCTTCTTGTAGTTGGGAGGAGCGGTCGCCCATTATGGTCAGCCAAGTTCTGTCAACATCGAAGATCTGGCTAGCATCGGGGGCTGTTATTTTAGCGCAGACACGAGAACCTTCAAGCATCAGTTGGGCTCAGTGCGCTGGACAAAGGCCTGAGTGCGTCTCCCGAATCCAGGCTGACAGGGAAACAGGTCATTGCGGCGCTAGGGGCGGCTTTTGCGTGCAGATGTTGCATGTGGCGGAGACATGGTTTGTTGGAAATAGGTCTTCTTGTGTTTGCCTTCCGGAAAGCTTCCAAGGATGGGTCTTCTGGTCCAAGCACGGACCTACTGGAAGAAGGCATCCAACGTCCGTTGACAATTATCGACATTCCATGATATTATGCACAAATAGCATTCCTTCAAGGCTCTGGATGAAGCTGAGAGTGAGTTTGAGACCACCCATAAGAAGGCAACGTGCCGGGAGACGTCAGCATTGGCAGGACTCTGATGCGTTGTGCAGTGATCCTAGCCAGGTTATTGAGACGGATTCGAAGGGTGGTGTGCGCAGCGCTGTTCCGAAGGGCTTTCCGTGCGCCTGCAGCAGCAGGCTGTGCAGTTCTGAGACGGAGAATTGCCAGGTACATCCACGTGGATTTTAGTCTTGGAGGTGGTTTCGCCCATGTGATTGACAACGTGCCTGAGTTTCCACGGGATTTCGCGCAACATGTCATTGCAGGAATGCGGCTTGTCTGCACGTTGCTGCACATGTATTGTACCTTAGGGGATTTCCCAGCAGCCGCGAACTCCAGGACATGCTCTTTTTTTCAGCCTCGGTCCAAAACTGAGGTGTGAGATGACCATCCTTGACCGTGCTTACACTTGCAAGGAGGAGTGCCCTCGCAGGTTCACCACTTCTTATGTGCCTGACATGATCTCATCACCCTCCATGCTCGAGGTACAGAGATGCTTGCAGGGACATCAAGGAACGCTTTGCAGCAGACTTTGACTGGACCAAGGCCATCTTAGCTACACTCGCCCACTGCATATGGACCACAAAGACCTCCCAAACTACAGACCAGCACTGATGAAACATTTGGCTGATTGCACTGGGCCCTAGAGGATTACGCGGCCAGGAGAATCTCACAGGTTGCTAAAGTTTGGATCATAGCTTTTTGCGGCAGTGAATTCCAGGCAGCAGCGTCGCGCTTGGAAGGTGGCCAACCGTAGATGTTGTATCACGAAAGCCTGCTCCTATGCAGCCACACCACACACCACACACCACACACCACCCCACACACCACACACCACACACCACACCACACACCGCACACACCGCACACACCGCACACCACGCCACACACCACGCCACGGACCACACACCACGCCATGGACCACACACCACACACCACGCACCACACACCACACACCACACACCACACACCACACACCACACACCACACACCACACACTACACACCGCACACCACACACCACACACCACACACCACACACCACACACCACACACCACACACCACACACCACACACCACACACCACACACCACACACCACACACCACACACCACACTCCACACACCACACACCACGCACCACGCACCACACATCACACACCACACACCACACACCAAAAACCACACACCACACACCAAAAACCACACACCAAAAACCACACACCACACACCACACACCACACACCACACACCACACACCACACACCACACACCACACACCACACACCACACACCACACACTACACACACCACACACCACACCACGCCACACACCACGCCACGGACCACGCCACGGACCACACACCACACACCACACACCACACACCACACACCACACAACACACACCACACACCACACACCACACACCACACCACACACACACACACACCACACACACACACCACACACCACACACACCACACACCCACACACACCACACACCACACACCACACACCACACACCACACCACACACCACACACCACACACCACACACCACACACACACCACACCCCACACCACACCACACCACGCACACACGCACCACGCACCACGACCACGCACCACGCACACCACACCACCACCACGCACACACCGCACCACGCACGCACCACGCACCACGCACCACGCACCACGCACCACGCACCACGCACCACGCACCACGCACCACGCACCACGCACCACGCACCACACACCACGCACCACACACCACACACCACACACCACACACCACACACCACACACCACACACCACACACCACACACCACACACCACACACCACACACCACACACCACACACCACACACCACACACCACACGCCACACACCACACACCACACACCACACACCACACACCACACACCACACACCACACACCACACACCACACACCACACACCACACACCACAGATATGGGAGTCCTTGACAGATTTGGTGTGGGCCAAACGAAACTTCAGAGGCTGGTCCCTAGCTCCTGAGACACCACGGATTTAACGGTCAGCAGGGGGCATGCAAAGAGGCAGGCTGCTCTCTCGTGAAGGGCGGGCCTAAAATCCTGCCCCCTCTATGTACCTTGAGCCCCCCCTCGCCCGCCCAAGGTGTCAGTAGAACTTCGGCAGCGTAACCGCACCAAAAATCTTCACAACTTAAGACAACAGCGTTGCGTTTCAGGCTTGCCGCAGGCTTCTTTTCCGATTCGTTTTCGACAAGCACCAGTATCGACGAAGGGTTAAGGGGACTCTGTTGTTTTCGAGGAGGAGGGGGGGCGAGGGAGAAAGAACAAAATGAATGAAGAGAGAAGCCCGAAAAGAAAATCGAAAGGATGAGAGAAGGACAGAAAGACATAGCCATAGAAGCCGGTAACAAATAACAAAGAAATAAAGAACGACACAAATAACTAACATAAAGAAAGAAACGCAGAAAGAAAGACAGACAGAAACAACTAAATCAAGAACGAAACAACGGAGGAGCGAGAGAGACAAAAGGAAAACAGAGAGAACGACAGAACAGACGAACGAAATAAATGAAGAAAGGGAGAGCGTGAAGAGCCTACTCGTCAAAGCAGAAGCTTTACTCTGCTTGGAGTCTCGAACTTTGAGTCGGATTCGACAGCATGGCAGTGTGGCTGCGAGGAACACAGCAGAGAGTTGTTAAGAAACATCCCAGCAATGCATCTGAAAAATGACGGAGGAGAAAGCCGGAGGCACAACACGTGATGTACAGAATGCGAGATTGAAGGGAGCGGTAATTCAGATCGAGGGGCAAGCAGTTGCCAGATTTGCCAGTTGCGGCATCGGGATGCAACCGCAACAGAGCCATTGATAGGGAAGTGCAGCAACATGGAGTCGCCGAACCATCGGCAATGCACGTGATGCTCCTGCCACACGCATCTCGGACAACAGCTCACGGTGCAAGCCTCTCTTTCGAAATCAGGCGCTTCAAGCTTGACTTGGACTGCTGCCTCCTTCGGCGACAAGATGTGCAGCCTCGTCTGAACAGGGATGAGCGGCAAACTGAAGCACTCGTGATGAAGCTGCGAAAGCGCAGTTTCGCGCATCGCTGAAGCCACGAAAGGTTGAGCTCGAGATTGGTTCTGTCAGCTACAATGCTTTGCTGCGCGCAGTGTTTCTCGATTGCTGCAACTAACCGTGATGCAGGACCTTCAGCAGCTCGGCGTCTCCATCTTTAACAGGACAGAAGACCATCACCGCCAGAAGATGCTATGTTTTGTGGATGATGCTGTTCTTCCCGTCACAGTCATGCTCCCTGGGTGCAGGGTGCAGTGAAGGTTGTCTACAACAGTTTTCTCGAGGAGCCCCGGTCACGGGATTGCCTTTCTCGTTGCGATTGGCATCGTGCGTGATTTTCCGGTGGAGATCAACAACTTTCTGGTGAGGCCGACTGGTGCACGGGAATCATGTATTCCAAATTTTTGAGTCCATCCGGGCAGGCTAAATGCTGACCGGGAGAAGATTGGTGACAAGCCCAGAATGGCCCCAGCTTGTGTACGACACAACCTGAGACCTGGTTTTGAGCATCAAGGCGATTATCTGAGTGAGGAATATCCGACCGTCGGCAGCTTTGCACCTTTACGTGATCTCTGGTGGAAGTGCCTAGGGCATTTCTTCGACTCGGACTTAGTGATGCGAGGCTCAGACCTTGCGCTTGGAGTGGGCCTGGCTGGTTGGCATGCTTTGCAGGAACCCATGTAAGCTACAAAGACCAGGGGAAGAGTTCCAATTTGCAGATGATAAGAGAACCTGGATGTGAAGCTAGGTTCCTGAACTCTCTGCCGCTCTTGGGGACTGGAGCCTTAAGCTCAGTGCCGAAAGACTCTTGTCGGGTGGCGCCTCAGAGTGCACTGCAGAGAGTGTGCTGCACACGGCTGGACACAGCCGCCGAGGTTCTGTCAGCGCTGCAGACAGTCTCGCATGACCTGACGCTTCCGCGTGACTGGATGAAGGCGACTTTCGAGTTTCAAAGCTCTTCTCCGGGCTTTTTCTGGATTGCCGTGTGAGGTGGATCGCCTTCTGCGGGGTGTTGCGCACTTCTGGTGGAAGCAGCACGAGGACAAAACCTTCCGCAGTGGGTGCAAGAGAAGATCAAGTATGCTTGAGTAATTGAGTAATTACAGGTTGGTACTGAAGCAGTGCCCTTTGCAGGAAGAGGTCAATGAGCGCCGGAATGAAGCGCGGACCTTGAACCTGGACTTGCAGTTTGAGCAGCCTAGCCTAGCGGCCTAGCGTAAGGCACGTGAGCACAAGTGCGAAGAGCGGTGGACTGGCTCAGGGTGGTGCTTCCACCAGCTCTTTCCGCGATGCGCCAGACGAACCAGGCCAGGGCTGAGGCGGCCGAGGCGGCGGACAAGCACAATCTCTTTCGTTTTCGCGTCGAAGGCGAACTGATTGGTCTGGACCTTCAGCGTGCATTGCTTGGGACAGAGGGCTTTCACAGGCTCCTTCTGGCTCGCACATTTGTTGAAAATAGCGGCGACCCGCAGACCAAGCTGACAGCTGCAGGCTCCTTTTCTCAGCGCTGATGCTATACAGGCTCCTCGGTGGATTGCTGCTTCCGAAATGGCAGTTGCGTGGAGTTTTGCCTGAAGGTGGCTGAGGGATGGCCACGAGATGCCACTCAACACCTGGGTGCAACTGAATGCCGGCATCGAGGCGGAGGGCAGAGCGCGGCGCTTTTTCCTATGCACCTGAAAGACCCGCGAGGGAGCCGGGAATGATTTTCCTTTCCATGTCCAGATGGCCATCCACAAGGTGCAGTGCGAGCGAACGTGCGAGCGGGCAGGAGCGCTTGCAGGGACGAAATCGATCTGCGGAGCGAGTGCAGGCAATCAGCTCCGGTGAGCTGAAGCTCCAAGCTTTGGTCGCAGCTTTTTACGACGCTTCGGACTTGTGCAACACGTTCCCGTCGTTTTGCTCCATAGGTCGACCGGACACTTTCCCCGGTGAAGCGTCCCACTCCATCCCTGCGGGGTCGTGCGCCGTCCTCATGTCACGTGACCTGCGACGGTGCGATGTGACGCTGGGACCCACTGCTCCGCTATGCTCCGCTCCTGCTCTGGCCAAGGCCTTCGTGCGCTACAACGGCCGGCCCCAGACTGACGGCGATCTGGCGCACTGGCCACAGGCGGATGGTCGCGATGCCGTCATGCCTGACGATGCCTCCTTCCCAAAGCGAAGTGCAGGCGTCACCACACGTTCTTGCTGCTGAAGGAGGTGTCCTCGCCGCTGGAAGGCATGTGGGCATGTCCTTCTGATCATTTCAGACTCGAAGCCAAGCTGGAAAGACAGGATGTCTCCGCAGCCGGCGCTGTATCTGCAAGGCTCTCGAGCAAGGTCGGGCGTGGACTACATTAGAGCTAGGGAGGTGTGTGAAGATGGTATGACGTGGTCCTGGCCGGGGAGTGGCCTCTCGCAGCCGAAAACCTGGAATGCAGGTACATTCTACTAGATTTGTTCGGAGCCTTGTGCCTTGCCTTCGCTTCCCGAAGGGAGGTGGAGATGCAAGAAATTACCCGTCTCCCTCTCTCTCCGTTGTTTTCTCGCGCCGGCAACTCTGCACCTTCAATCGGACCTTTGCCGGAATCTCGTTGCAGCTGTGACTGCACTGTCGTTCCTTGCTTGTGCCTCAGGATGTCAGTGACAGCATTTGCACAGCCTTTCGATGCTGGTGGGTCCGCACCCCATGTTGCCATCCCCATCAGCTGACCTTATCTCGCAGCTTTTATTTGCACTCAGGTCAGGAACCACCGACGAAGAGGTTGGCCGTTGCTAAAGTGCGAGTTGCCGGAAGTCCGCCAAAGTACAACGTAAGAGGGGTGGTGTGGCTGTGTTTCACGCTGAGCCACGTGGCAGTGCACGATTTTCGAAGTGTGAGGCGACTTGCTTTGAGGCTGCAGCAACATGCAAACTTGCTGCTACATACTGGGTGCTTGTGAAATACAAGAGCATATACTGGACCGCTTGTGCAGCCACGATTTCTGTCCGACGCACAACTTTGAGTGCTCGACTAGGTGACATGGCTGCGCTTGCATCAGTGGCAGTGTCCTTGTGGGCAACAGATGCCGATTCCATGCCTTCTGACGGAACGCTCCTCTTGAGGCTGCTCCTTCTGGCCTCCAGTGACGATGCGGCCCCTTTCGCCTTTGTGTCGCTTAAGCTTTGCCCTTAGAGGTCCGACCACGACGGCTTGTACTGGTAGGACCTGGCATCTTGAGGAAAGTAGCACTTCTTCGGGCTGATGCCCGCGTGTTGCAGATCACGCTGGCCCGCCAAAGCCTCGACGGCCTCACTTCTCTTCTCGCCACTCTCGCAGCTCTCGCAGCTCGCAACTCTCTGACTTGATTGAAAGCCTCCGAGGCAGAGTGGAAGGGGATTGGCCATCGGACAGTGCCTCAGGGCTGCGGCTACGCCCGGCTACTTGGGCCTAGTCTGAAAGCCCATAAGTCATGAGGTCACAGTGGATGACGATTGGCTGGAGCTTTTGACCCAAGACCTGGGGGGCGGCTTGGCTCAGCGCGTGGGCTTTGGAGGGCCTTTCTGACTCGAGGCTGTGCCTTCTGCTTGGCGACGGGCGGTTTCAGGTCTTGGAGGCCGGCGCCGGGCGAAGCGGCGAAGCGGCGAAGCCAGCTGCCTGAGCCCTGAGCATCCGCAACAGCATCCGCCTGAGTCCAGGCGCCAGAGCTGATGATGAGGTGCCGTGGGCCCGGGGATCTTCTGCAGCTTGAAGCTCCAGCTTTGGCCGGTCAAGCTCTTCCTGCACCAAGCTGACTGAAGCTGGTGCACGTCGGTAGTGTGCCGCCAAGAGTCATCTTGATTCCTGTACCGTCAAACGCCAAGACGTGAATGGGAATTTCGATGTCCAATGCGGGTATTTTATCTGCGACCGACCGAGACATAATGGACACCGACCGACCGTCCATATGGGCAACAGTGAGGGAGTGCGCGCTCTCGCATGTGTGTCGCAGGTTTGAGGACGAAGCTGACTTCCAGAACTGGGCAGATGGCTGAGCGACGAACGGCGGATGGCGGATGCTGGCATAAGACGTGCCGAGCTGAGGCCGGATACTTGCGGGAACTTTGCTGCCACCCCCTCGGAACACGCTGAAAAGGGTTTGGCTCCAGCTGCAGTGAGGAGACCCGGAATGGATGCTGTCAGGTGAAGACCCTGAGCGGCGTCGGGCTGCACTCAAGGAAGGAATGTTGCAAAGTGATCGCCAGAACCGCAAGAACTGAACTTTACAACATGTCGGCAGGTCCCACCAGTCATTGTGGCGGGTCACCCGCTTCCGTAAATGAGGCTCAGCTTCCCGGAACGTTGCTGATGAACCGTGTAGGCATCGACCATCAGATGAACTTGAGCTCGCGCTTACCAAGGCCTGAGCAACACTCCAAGTTGGTCGTGCAGCGCGCATCTTGCGAGATCACACATGTCTCACCAAAGGCCATGTCCGACATGATGCTGGTGCAAAGACAGCAGCACAAGAGCAAGAAGCGTTTCAGAAAATGTTCCATGCACGCTTGGAACATTCGGTGTCATTCCTCGATGCCTGATGGTGCCGCTCTGGGTGGTTGCCAGGCGTTTGCATGCATTGGTTTAAAGATACAAGGAAGCAATAAACCATGGAGTGCGAGCCACCATTTGCAAGCGTTCGTAAGAATCAGGAACGTGTATTCAGGCATCCATTTTGTTTTCGCCGAGTCTAGCATGTCTATGCATGACAGGATTGCCTGTCGTGTCGTCACGCCCCGTCAAGCACTAAAGTCCTTGTTCAAATTACAATACGTAAGACCCAAAACCTAAACTGCGCGTATATAGACACAAAAGCCTCACACCCAAAATCCCAACGCCCGGGAGACAAAATCAGCTAGAGCTCGATACACCACAAACTTGCCAGTTGTGTGCCCCAAACTCTAGATTCATTCAGCAGTAGTCTGTGTACAAATCCCAAACTGGCAACACATCTCCCCCAAAGCACTCAAAGCCACCTCATCCGTAAACTCCTGAAAACCCTATCCCTGTCCCTAAGCTCCCCTAGATGCTCTGCAGTTCCTACTTAGTTCCTCTTGTCTGCAGCATCTTGGCTAAAGGGGCTTTAGCGCTCCTCCAAATGCGGTCGCATCAAGTTGCGGCTGGAGCCCCGGATCCTTATCTGCAGCGCTATGTGTTCAGTTGCACCTGTTGTTTGCTTCCACAGCTCCTGCCACTCTTCTTGCAGGTAACCGTCCATTGCGCATTGGGCTCAGAAGCTTCAGGACGTTACACTTTCGAGGAGTGAGGTCTGTCCGATCGTGACGGAAGAGTGCCATACAAGCGTTCTTGCAAGGTACCGAAGCTGCTGCCCGTGCAGCAGGTGAGTCTGATGCAGTGTTGAGGGGAAAGCTTGTTGCTAAGTTCTAGATCGCGCCGTCCTCGCATGTCAGGACACTGAAGGGGGCCTGCCACGACTGCTGTGCGGCGGGCGCAGCAACGAAAGGGCTGTTCAACGCCCAGTGTCTTTGATGTCATAGCAGACGGGCAAGTGACTTGACTTTGGCGAAGGCGACTGCGCCCGAAGGATCATCCAACCGCTCGCTCAGCCTTGAGGATGAGGCCTTTGCAATGCAGCAATGCCACGAGCATCCAATCTTTTGCTTCTGCAGGAGTTGCTATGTGAACCTGTGACCGTGAGCCACCTGAGCCTCTCAGCTGCAGATCGTTTGTCGCGTCTCTACAGAAACCTTCTTGGATTGGTTCTTCCCCGGCGAGGCTCTGACATCGGGGTCCACTCCGAGCCGCTCGAAGGCCTGACTCCTTGCCAGCGCGTCGTGAGGGCACCAGTGCTCGGTGAATCCAATCTGACCTCGATTGCAGGACTGCGCAGGCCAGACACCTCGTGTCGCCAAAACGTGCCCCTCTCCCCCTTGGTGCGGAGAAAAAGCCTCGTGACCAAGCAGGCCAGAAGAAGCGAAGTGCTGCCAGTGCTCTGCTTCAGTAGCGTGGACCGGTTGCTGCAGCAAAGGAGTTGGCAGCTACCTCGCCTCTGCTTCGACCACCGCGACTGCCAGTGTCACGAAGTAGCTCCGTTGCTTGGCATAACATTCGAGGGACAACAGGCCGAAATCAACTAGTAACTAGTCGTGTTTCAGACATGGGCTCGTTGCCACCTGGTCCTGCCATTAAGGTTGAAACGGAAAAGTCCGTTGACAGTAGTCGACCAAAGGCTTCTCCGCCGTGATCTCAGTTTCAAGTCGTGTTGCACATGCATGTGCATAGTGACATTTGCTCGAGGGTCGAACGTGCAGCTACGGCCCGAGAGCATCAGATTTTCTTTCAGTTTCGTGGATAATCAAGCTGGATTATCGGCTTTGTCCAAGGGCTACGGACGCGACGATTGCATAAACAGACTCCTTGCTTGGTTTCATCATTTGTGTGCTCGGTTGGGTTGGCAGGGACACTTCGAATGGGTTCGCAGTGCTTGCAACATCAGCGACAAAATTTCTCGGGGAGACCTTTCCCAAGCCGAGCGCTCCGGCTGGCAGATGTTGGACGGCGATTTTCGCGATCTTTGGGAGATCCTGCGACGAGTGGCCACTGATTGGCATTTTGCGGTCGGACCGGGCGTGGATGCTGCTCTCAACCTCGTTTGGCATTTTCAGCAGGCTCCGAGTGGTGGCGATTAGGCGTCAGAGCTGCTGCAATGCGGCGTTCAGGCAGCAGCAGCTCAGAAGCCTCTCGAAGCAGCAGATGCTGCGCCAACTTCAACGGCAACCGGAGTGGACGAGCGAAAAAGTTGAGCCGCTTCAGCTCTGAACTTTCGTGAGCACCGACGGAGAATGTCGTGTTGCACATGCATGTGCATAGTGACATTTGCTCGAGGGTCGAACGTGCAGCTACGGCCCGAGAGCATCAGATTTTCTTTCACCCACCCTCCCACCGCGACGTCCAAGACGTTGTTGGCGAGAGCTTCAGGCTGTTTGCTGCTACGGCGTTCAGGCAGCAGCAGCTCAGAAGCCTCTCGAAGCAGCAGATGCTGCGCCAACTTCAACGGCAACCGGAGTGGACGAGCGAAAAAGTTGAGCCGCTTCAGCTCTGAACTTTCGTGAGCACCGACGGAGAATGTCAGTGCGCGCATGCGTTGGAGCCCGGGCTTTCTTCTGTTGGATCTCCCCCCTGTCTTCGCCCAATCTTCGCTGCCCTCCCCTTGCATGTGCCACTCGTTCCTCGAATTTTCGCTCGCGCCCGCACTCATGTAGTTGTGCCCACACTCAGACGCAGCGACACATTGGAGCCTTTGAGACGTTAGACTGATGAAGTGTTGCATGTGTTATCTGCGCATCGCATATATGCAGCGGGTTCAATGCATCAATACATGCGTGCGACTTATGTGCAGGACATCCTGCATGTTCATGGAACCGCAAATGGAGCTCGCATTGAACGCGCTGATGGTGGAAGACGCTCCAGATAGAATGGCAATGCCAGTGGCATGCTGCTGTTTAGCCTGGGCCAGACAGCAGATGCCGGAGTCGAACTGTCGATCCACAATTGAGCCAGATAGCACCGGCATTGGAGACGCCAGTTAAAGTCAACGTTCCTTGACGCCAGTCTGTTCTCACGGCAGCATGCGCAGTATATCGCAGCCTGCACTGACGCAAAACAGCGTGGCTTTGTGCTTGGGAGCTGTGCAGCGAGCGGCTCCAGTACTTCCTCTAAGGTCCGTGTCTCCTCGATCTCCAGGTGCCGATACTCAGATGCTCGAAGTCGTATACAACTGGATGGAGTTGTCATGCATGTGGTGAATGCAACACTGCTGGCGTCCACCAGCGGATACCAGCGGCAAGGTACTCAGCCAAATTCAGCCAGCGGCGCGAGACTCGGGGCAGATACGCTTGCTAGTGCATCGGAGTCCTGTCTTGGAAGAATTTCTGCCGAAGCGCAAGTTGGGCTCGTTGGTTTGGTCACTGGTCCACAGTCGTGCTGAGGTACGGACGATGAAAAGTCTCCTTGCCCTAGCATCTCTGCTAGCAGCATCGACACAACTAGAACGCACCCACGTCTTCAGCTCAGCTGTGCAGACATCACAGGAAGGGAGAAACGAATATGTGCCTTGCAAGGTGCTGTTGACCTTATCGTAGAGGAGGCGGAGGAAGACATCAATCGGCCATGGGGCACTGTGGAGAGGACATTCAAAGCTTTCTGCGGAACCAAGCCAGGCAGCCCGCGCTTATTGGCCATGTCAGACACAAAGCATCACTGAAGCCAAGACAAGTATCTTCCCAAGTGAGATGGGCCAACTGCCCACGGCGGTCAGAAGTGATCGACTTGGGCAGGTATGGATGGAAAGTCATTTGCAAAGCTTTGCAAGGACTGGCATTTGTGTGGAACGCCTTCAATCCGAGTGAAGGTTCAAAAGCGAAGTGTGCTCTGGGGATTAATGCGTGCCTGAAGCAGGGCAGCCCAAGGACGCTCCCAGTCCCAGTCTGTGAAGGATTCCGCCTTGGTCGAGAAGAACCTTAGCAAGACAGATGTGGACATCATTTTTGCGAAGGTCTGCAAGCCTCTTGGCTGAAGCTGGCCGAAGGCGTCGGGAGCCTTCTTTATGCGCTGCGATCCGTCCGCTCCGGGCTTCAGGAAGGGGCACCGTCGGATCGGGCTGGAGCAGTTCGATGCAGCCCTGGAGATGATCGCAGACAAGAAGACCTTGACTTTGGAGGAGGTCTGGTGCGCAGTAAGGCACGCCGGCCGGGCTGCATGCTGCTACGAAAGGGTTTTGGGTCGCAGCCGAGTGTAGCTTGTCGCAGGTGTTGTGGAGGGCCGGTACTCAACAGCACCAAAGCCGAAACAGTGCGGTTCTATGACGACAAGAGCCTCTACACGGGGACTCATGCGCAGGGAGGGCCTGATCCTGGCAGGAAGGGAAAAGGTACACTGCCTCGGTCTCAGTCGTCTCAGGTGCCCGAGGCTCTGTGGGGCTCCGTGGGGCTTTCGCCAGCCAAGGACATGGACCACAGCTCTGCGTGACGAGCCGTCGCAAGGCCAAGGCAGCGCCAGCACGCCAGTGCCGAACTCCCCAAGGGATCCCGAGTACTCGCCGCCGGAACTTGAGAAGCGACCTCGCTCTGTGAGCTTGAGCGAGAAGAAGATCTCCCAGCAGCTGCGTGGCAAAGACGGCACAGTAGAGGCTGGGGCGGAGCTCAAATTCGCAGGTCCCCAAACCCTTAATTCAGAAGCTTGGGCTCTGCTCTTCTGCCGCCAGGATACCTTTAAGGCTTACTGCGCCAACAAGCCCGACATGGATGGGAAGGGCTTCGTCAAACTGTGCAAAGACTGCGAGTTGGTGGACGATAGTTGGACCCTGATTGATGCAGATCTTATCTTTGCAAAGGTGGTGTCCAGGGGTCACCGTCGGATCATCCTTCGTCAATTCAAGGAGGCTCTCCGATTGATTGCCGAAAGGAAGGGCATCGACGAAGAGGAGATATGTCAGCGTGTCGCAGAATCCGAGGGGGTGGTTCACGAAGGAACCACCGCAGATTATGTGCGGTTCTTCGACGACAAGAGCACCTACACGGGCACTCATGTCTATGGAGGCTTCCGGAGCACCCGCAAACTGTCATGGTGCGTACATGCGAAAGGATACGAGTCGTCTAGGGAGTAGCTTACTGCCAAACACGAAGCAATGAGCCTTGCCGAGACCTAGATGCAGACTCTCGGCTTCTCTTGATGCCCAGAGGTCCAGACAGCAGTGCCAGAACCAGCGCCGACCAATTCTGGAGCTCGATGCTTCGCCCCGAGGGCGAGGAGGACAGGCTTCCCGCGCCTTGGCCAAGCTCCGACGTCGATCCGGGATCCGACGCCCCGACCCTCCGACCCTCTCCCTATTCAGGAGATGGTGGTGACTAAGATCTGTGAGACCAGTCCGCAAGGCGAGGGACTGCAAATCTCCGTCGCGGTAGAAGTAGAATTCAGTCGCGCCAGGAAGCAAGGCGAAGGCGACCCCGGTGCAGCCCAAGGCATGGCCTCGCCTTGGTTTTGCATTATTGCTGAGAGACAGCACTGCAAAGAGTGCTTCGAAGAGCGACAGGCAAAGCCCCGCGCGCGCTTGGCGATCACTGCAAAGAGCAAGCCGCCAACTGGGGACAGCCATGACTTTACCATGGTCTTCACCGATGTGCAAGGCGAGCTATCAGGGCCAGAAGCGATTGGGGAAACTTCTTCGCTGTTGAGCTTGCATGGAATTGTTGTTTGCATGCGAGGCTCCACATCACTCTGGGAAGCGAACCCTCGTGCGATGGAATTGGCTCTGAGACTTCACGACGCGACCATCAGGCAAGTTCTTGCCAAGCACAGCGGTTATGAGGCTCGACTTTGCAAGTGTTACAGGTGCTGCCATTGCTGTACGGAAAAGCTTCGCGTGCAGGTCACAACAGAAGGCGATGCCTTCCAAATAGCCTTCCATGATACTGCAGATGCAGTGGCATTCTGCCTGGACACGCAGCAAGAGCTCTTACGATGTGATTGGCCAAATGCCACACTCTCGCATCCGGACGCAGCTGCCTGCACCTCAGACAGCGAGAGCATCCACACACGGGCGGGCGGGTGGCAACTGTGAGTTGTCGTGCGATCGCATGTCTGAGATCTGAGGCCAGCAGTGACGGAGCCTGGCGCGGTTTGCGTGTGCGCATGGGTCTGCATTCCGGCCGCCCGGCCTCCGTCACGAAGCACGAGGACTCCGAGGGAAACTCGAAATGAAAGGCGTTTCTCAGCGTTCCCGCGCTCCCTCCGTGGCAGGTCACTGGACGTTGGAGATATGCGGGGCCATCTGTTGCAATGGCCAAGGCTATAGAGGCACCTGACTGCAGCTTTCTCCAGTAATCTCCATTTGCATATGCAGATGCTTGCCATGCTTGCCGCTTGCCAGGGTGTTTGCCATGGTGGGCAGATCATCATGTCTGCCAGCAGCTTTTACCTCATTGACGGTTTGCTGACTTCGCTTGGAAGTCCGCAGGCCGGGCGGGAGCTGGAACTTGAGTCATCCACCGAAGTCAAGGTCTGAGCACGAGGTACAATTTGGGATCATCCCGAATGCTAGAGGGAGGAGGGAAAGGATGAAGGAAAGAAGCAGGGACCGACTGGAGGCAAGGAAGGAAATTGGTCCAATGATGCTTGCAAGGCTCAGTCCCAAGCCCTCTTTCTGGGCACTGTCGTCAATGCTCGAGCACGAAACACTAACCAACGGTCGAGGGGGTTTGGACATTTCACGATTTTTCATGGTGGTGTTCGGCCCAGCGGTGCCTGCTGTTCATCGTCGAGAGAGCTCACGGAGAGAGCATGTGCATCGGCAGCCAGAGCCTTCCCAGAAGGGTGCACCGAACTGACCTGCAGGTTGTAGACCTGGGGGATCACATCTTGGAAGGGCATGGCCTCACGGAAGACTCGTCCAGAACTGGATGTTCTGGCCGTGCCAGAGTGCAGCTAATTCAACTCGTGCCAGATGCACTTGCCCACGACTGGTCTGGCGTCCCGGCAGCAGACTTCGTCACTTGAGCATAGCTATCCACCCGGAACGACCTCTGATGCCAGTTACCCCCTATGCCCTTGCCCTGTGTTGAGGGCCCAGGCCCGATTGGCCGAAACATCCGAACGCCGAACACAAGGTGAAGATCCTGACGACACGTCGACTCTGGTAGGTGGCCGAAAATTCGCGCCGGTGGTCAGCGAGCAGCGTGTGTCGCCGGGCTTCGAGGGCTCCCCTGCTGGGCTTCTTGGCTCCCCTAGGCTTGGTCTCCTGAGGTGGCTCGTGCTTAGGATAATGGTTGCATTTCTGAGGTCGTCCATCACTCTCTGCTTCGTTTTCACCCAGGGTGCCCGTGAGTTGGTCGCGACAGACCCAGGGCTGGCAGTGCAGTCGCTTGGGCTCCTGTCACTGCCTCAGACTTGATTGTGCCGTGCTGTTGAGGGACCGAGGGACCTTCTCGCTGGCCATGCTTGTAGCAGTGGTCCAGGCGTGGATGTTTGCGTGAAGTTCTACGACATGCTGGAGATGGCAGCGGGTACGAATGCCAGGAGGATGAGGGCGCTTTCATGCGCCTCAGCTGTTGCTACACCACTGTACAGTTCTTCCGTCTTGATCAGTATTCGTTTAGGATTTGCTTACATATTGGCTTTGTTGGAAGTTGCCCATGGCTTCGTGCCCTGTGTATTCCTTGGCCTGCCTGCAGAAGCAGTATACCACGACATACAAGCTGTCACAACGTATCCTTGCGCTTTTTCCCGGTCTCTTTGTGGAATTGATCTTAGGTTCAGCCGTTGTGTTCGCAGCCATAGATGCATGCTCGCGGACTTGCTGCAGGCTGGCCTTCGGCAGCATGTTGGATGCCGCGGTCTTCTCAATACTGCTGCAGCGCAAGCTACCGCAACTTCCGTGGCCTGATGAGTTGCGACAGCGAGGACTTGAAACACAGGTTGGTAGCTGTGCCCGCAAGGATTGCTTTCTTCGGGATTTCTGTGTCACTCAGCTAACACCACGGAAACTTAGTTCACGGTGAAGGCTATCCCGGTGGCAAAGTATTCATCGTCGTGTGGTCTTGTAGTGGTGCTGGTAAATACAAGCTGCAAGTTGATGAAACTGCAAGTTCCTTCTCGTCGGCCCCGTCAGGACCGATGCATTCTCATGGCTTACGGGTGTCAATGGGAGATGCTTGGAGAAAATAATGTCAATGTCGCAGACTTCAGGGTCATGACGATCTGTGGCATTCAGCTACCGCTCAGGCTCTGAGTGGTGCCTACACGTCTAGGAGACCACATGCCTCAACTGGGCGGGTCACTCTGCAGCATTGTCGTGATTCTGCCGAACAAATGCCTGGTTGCTTCATCGTTGCTGTCAGCTCAGCTGCCATGAACATGTTGCTCTCAGGCAGATTATTTCGGCACTATCGTGAACCGCACGGCTCGCATAGCGGCTGCTGCGCACCCAGGGCAGGCGAGTCCGAGTGTTTCGGCTCGTAGAATCAAGCCGCCGCCATGATGCCAGGTTCTGCTCGGCGGGGAGATGCCTCTGGATGCAGCCGCCTTGAAGCGACTGCCAGGCGTGCAATGGCAGCAACCGCCACCCTTAGCAGGCCGGTCTTCAGATGACGGTCAATGGACCTCATTTTCACTTCGTGGTGCTCAAGCCTTGTGGGAGGCTATCCTCAAATGATTCCACAGCCGATCCCTCAGCAAGCTGTTCCAGGGCAGGCGATGCCCACAGCCTACGGGCAGGAGCCCTACAGAATGGTTCTCGCATCAGATGTATAGATGCCATAGATGCCATAAGCTGGTGGATGACTCAGGGCTGCCGGCCAACCAATCGCCGCACCCTGTCTCCCAGGGCAGCTGCAACAGACACCACAAGTGTCGGGTGCAGGCGAGCACAAACATGTGGCTTGCGCGGATGTCCATGTCTTGTGCAACCTTGTCACGCTTTGCCGCATTCTGCACCTGTTCCTGAGGATGGTCATTGCCTCGATTAGGCGCTTTCGCGCTGAAGGCCTCATGATCGTGAGAGCATAGCTCATTCATAGCCTGGCATATAAGCCTTTACCTTCACCGTGGTGTTACTGTTCCGTCTCTGGTCCGACACATGCTTGCCACAGGTGTCTCGTTGTTAGGCGAAGCATGTTGCTCGAGACACGTTGAGTAAGTCGTGTTGGGCTCGAACTTCATGATGTTGACACAAGCCTGGCTTCGATTCATTCATCGCTGCTACTGGCTGTTTTCGTGACTGTCAGATTCCTGCTTCTGTTGTGATGACGAGCGTGTTGTCAGGGCATTGACAGTCCCATTGTCTTGAACGAACTGCGCCTTTTCGACGACAGAGGCCATGCTTTCCTCCTTGTCGTTTGCATGAGACAGGGGAATTGGACAACTCGTGTTGCGTTGTGTTTTTGCGACTCCGCCAAGGCGTCAGCGAGACCTTCCCTGAACCAAAGACCAAAGGACGTGTGTCGAATTGAGGAGCCCTTTGCTGGAAATAGCAGGCACCTTCGTACACTCACTAGCACACCTCCCAGAATCTACCACTTTAGCTTCTGACTTCCTGGCGTTCCTTGTCTGGCAACAGCTGAGTCTCGAACACTTCAGTGCTTCTGTGGCCACAAATTGATGGCTGGCACTGGTGAGCAGCAGTTTTGCCAGCGACCTCCCCAGCTTTACAGACATAGCTTGACCAGGAAGTGACCGTATTCTGCAGGTCTACTTACATGAAGATCTCGTAACATAAGCAGTGTCAGCTGCTAGTATGTTGTTGAAGATGAAGCATCGGGTGCGATGATTGAATGATGCGTGCAGAAGCTTAACCAATGTGCATGAGTGAATGTGCATCATCATTTCATGTTAGCTTTCACAGGCACTGGACATCTCCCGAAACCGGGATCTTGATGTTCAGCTGCCCAGAAAAAACAACCATTCTCGCATGTAACGAACCACCACGTGGCTTCAAGAGCAAGTGCGGTGAGAGATCACAAGGATCCCTGGCCGTGTCTCAAGATCTTGCAACTAGGTACCAGGCGCACATGTGGCCAGAGTTGCAACCTGCATTGGTTCTTCAGAAGATTGCGACGACTGTGCTTGCTAGCGTGTGCACGCACTGTGAAGGAGGTTACGGCCTTTCCGACCGCCAATAGGTCAAGAGACTTGGAGCTTCTTTTTCCGTGCCGCACGAGACGGTGCAAAGAACTTGTTGTGCCTTGAAGATAGGCATCTCCTTCAGTTGCAGTGAGCAGCTTCTGTCGTGGTGTCGTTTTGCTTGTGGGCCCTGCTTCGCCAGTGTTCAGCAGAGTGAATTACAGGCTCTGAAACTGGACAAGAGCGACTCACGTGCTACAGGATAGGCAGTGTCTTCAGCTGCGTCAGATGGAGTGTTCAGTCACCTAGTTGTCTTACAAGATGATGTGTAGCCCATACCTCTGGTGGCTTTCCACTTCCTTAGCTCCATGCCACGATCGTCCGAGTGCTGCAGTCTTGCGATCTCTCCGGCAAGCGTTGGTAGCTAGGATACCAGAGCTGCCTGCAAAGGTTGCGAAGGCACTTGTGAAAATCTTTCTTGCTCCCCACAACGCTAGACAGCAGCGCAGGCATCAGCAAATGCCCGGTGTGTTGTAGCATGCACGCGGATAGTGCGCGCACTGAAGGTGAAGCGCAATTGTGGCCGCCACAGTTTCGGGATGCCCACGACGAAAAAGGTTCGACTCAAGAGCTGCTGTTGAAGCTCCGCAGCCAGCTGAGGGCTGGACTGTAACTATGTAGCAGGATTGAGAAGGTCAAACTGCAGTACGCTCTGTTTTCTGGCCAACAATGACCATATGAAGGCTGCCTGCTGCTTGTGCGAGCAAAAACTGTATTACGAGTCTTCTAATATGACAATTTCAGTTTCTGCTCGCATGGCCATTACTAATACTAGTACTACTGGGAGTCGTACATTTACCATTGCAAACAAAATACTGCCATTGGATTTGCGATTCCTATGTCTATTTCAAATTACTTTTATTCGCACCGCGACTCGTGCTTGGTAAGTAGTGGTGCGGTTGCCTGCCGCTACAACGACCTTGCTACTATTGCGGCGACTACAAATTCTACTCCTTTATGTGGTTGTGTGATTCTACACTATAAGATCTGCGGAAGACCATGAAAGACTGCTGTTCCCTTACCTTAGCAAGAAGCGTGAAGCTACTGGGTCATATGACATATGACAGCCGTTTATTACTGAAGCAGAAATATGAAAACGTAAGAAAGGGGGCCTGTCGCGCTCGTGTCTCGTTTCATTCTTGACTTTCCATTCACTTTGGAGGACATGAAGCAGCTTTCCAATCTTCTAAGGCTTGAAGACATGACGATAGATCCAATGCTTCAAGAGCTCTTTGTGTAGCTGTCAGATGTGAGCTGTGCATTTTGCCGCAGGCGCTCGATGTGCAAGCCATTTCAAAAGAGAACAACCATCGGCGAAGCTCAAGCCATGGAAGGACTTCCAATATCTCGGTGTCTAAACCCTTCGACTTTTTTGATAGTTGTTGTGACTCCACCATTTCACGTGTCCATACACTTCAGCAAGCACCATTCCCAATGATGACTGGCAGCATTTTGATGAGACGTGCGGGGTTTCTTGGGAATTGCGCTTTCTGGGCCTCCAGCCTTTGCCAAACCGTTCCAAGAATGCCACTAAAACATTGAAGTGTTCAACAAATTCCCAATGTCCTCAAATTCCCCGTTGGTTACCGTTAGTTGTTGTTGGGATTTGGGGCTTCCTGCTGGCGGTAGGGCCGGATTTTGGGATGTTCGATGTGGCAGCATTCTGCGACAATTTATGCTTCCCAAAAAGGTCTGGCCACCCCACGGCCTGCATTGGCGACTCTTCTCTGCTCGAGACAGTTTCCTGATACACATGTCGGGCGTGTCTGTATATGTAGTGTTTCAACGAGGTTCTTGTCTGCTGACATGGGATTACGAAGAATTGAGGTCTGCAATTTCTGCGGAGAGGGCAGCTACTGTAGGAGTTTCTCGACACGTGCGCCATGTGGAGATGTTCATGTGTTTATACTGGGTTCCACCACGCTGTGCAGCGGTCGTGCAGTGAGGGTCGCGAATTGTAGCCGTAGGTTTCCGTGGGTGCAGAAGGTCTCCTGCATGTCATGAGCTGCCCGTATTGCCTGTCCTTTACACCGCCGGCAGCTACGCCGCGGCCCGTTCGAAGTGGTTTGATCGGCCCGGGTGCAGTCCTCCAGCAGCGCCAGATTGAGCAGAGCCGGACCCTGGTGAAGGCTCAACAGAGCAACATCCTTCAGGCTTTTGCTTTCATGAGCTCTGTGCCAGGCATACTGGGAGTTTGAGGAAGGTGAAAACCGTTGGCTGGGCTTCTCTCCCAAAGTCAGCGTCCTCCTCGTGGCTCAGCACGACAAACTGCTCTCCTATGTGAGCTATTGCAGAGAAATGAAAAATCAAGGCTTGTGTGACTGACTGTTTGTGCAAGGAAGCTGCTTATCAAAATTGGCTGCAGAATCCCAGCGCTCTCGAGCCTGCATAATCTGTGGAGGTGTGTTTGACATCTTTTGTGTTGAGCGGCTTCTTTTTGTTTCCAACTTATCACCATGCCACCATGCCCTGTCGATGTGAACTCAGGAGACTCGCTCCAAAATCAATGCCGGCGGCTTCTTGTTCCGAGCTCAGCGCAAAGCGGTTTCATGGTGACGCACACAGCACCGTCCGCAAGGTATAATGTGGACTACACTACCCTTCTGGAGGACGGCCAGCGGCAAAGTCAGCGCATTCGCCGCGTGGGAGCTCCTAGGCACCAGAAGGTCCACAGCAACCAAGAGCAACTCGCATCACTGCGCCATACTGCGCCTTTCTGCAAATTCCAGCAACTTGAACTTGCAAGATTCTTGAGACATGGCTGAGCGAATGCAGAGATCTCGGGGTGGGCAGCTACCGCAAGAATCGAGAGCGACCACGCTAACTAGGACCTTGATCCATATCGTGCCGCGGCCCACAAATGAGTTGCTATGTTTCGCCCCGGGACGAGGTTGCAGGACTTTTGGTTTGATTTACCCGCCGGAAGTGAGTACCGTTTCTTGGCAAAGCACATGAAGCTTTTCGAAGCTTGGAATTTGCCACAGGAACACAAACAAGGCGAGTTGCACAGCATCATTTCCATCAGAGAAGGTTCACCAAAGCTTGTAAGAACTCCATAAAACTCCAAGGGTGTGCAACGTGCAGAAGCGTGCTCCAGTTCCACGTGAACAGTTGTTGTTTGCTCATCTTGCTCAAATCTCGGGAAGGGGCTTGCCAACACTTGTGGCTGTCAGAGTACACACCTTGTGCAAGAGCCCCCTGTCTCTGTGACTGGTCGTGTTCCAGGTTGCACACCTGCTGCACAGCATCTCGGGGGAAGATGCGCCGTGGAGACCATTGAACCAGTAGTCGTTCTAACATGCAGCGGCGCTTTGACCGGACGGCCGTGATGCATGGAGCGCGCTCGCTGCGCGCGTGAATCGGTACGGCACTGCCAGATCGGAAATCCCAAAAACCAAAACACATCACCAAATCCCGCACAGCATCCAGAAGGCGACCGAAGACGCTCTGCAAAAGGCAGACAGTCCAGACTGGTCAGTCGGCGGTCACGCCATGGTACCTCGCCCGCACGAAAAAGGAATGTTTGCAGATAAGCTTGGCGCTAACTAACGCAGCATCGAGAAGAGAGAAACCAGGAGGCTAGACACAGTTTGGCTTTCGTGTCAAGATTTGCAGGGCTCCGGGCGAGTGAACGGAACCCCGAACCCCCGCCGCCCCATATATCCTGCAAGCGAGATGGGTTTCCATCATCTTGATGCTGTGCAGCTGCCGAACCAACCGACCGAACAATCAAGTAATGCCGGGACGCCACGAGGTGGGCCCGCGCACAGCGCATTTGGGTCCTTTCTTTGGGGCGGAGAGGGCGGAGGACCCCAAGTTTTCGCCGCCGGGACATGCTAATTGTTTACCTCAGTCCCGGCATTATCGGGGCATGGCTCCCCCACTATTTGCTGCCAATGCATGGGAAGAGCAGCATATGACTTTGAAATGGCATCGTTAGAGGACGAGAGCGCCTCGTTGCCCATTGCATGCAAAACGGCCTGAGTCGCATTGGTTGGCGGTTTCTGTGCAGTGACGAAGGCACGCTGACATGAGAACCGAGCATGCGACAAAACGGAAGACGACGTTTGAGATCTTGCGAGAGGAGTTTCCAACATCTTCTCGCATATCGTGAGGGAAAAACATAAATGTGTGAGTGAAACTGTCGGCATCTTGTGAGTGGTCTTGTAGGCGAAGCTGTCATGCACCTCATAGTTCAGTAACAGCCTGGCACGTACCACGTGAGCCTTCGGCTGGTTGCAGTCATCCGAGGTTACGGCAGACCAATCCTCGGTGAATGGTGGGAATGCTAACGCGACTTTGTCATGGAGTTTAGGCTTCAAGTGACTCT